CAATTCCAGAGGAAAAGAGTAAGTCTCCATCGGCAAAAAAAGCTTCATCGATCAGTCCTGAAAGTGCTAAGGGTTCTAAGGAAAACTCTTATCAGTCTATAGGTACTCCTATCTCTTCTGTTGTTGCTCCTATGGAACCTCAAGAGAGGGATGCCATAGAAAATATGTTGGCTATATCTACTAAGGGAATTATTGGGAAGGAAAATTCTACTATGCCTGAGTCTCAGGGGGAAGAGAGTCAGTCCTTGGTGAGAGAAGGAGCAATGTTGTTTTTTGAACAACCTGCACCAGAAGAGGCTACTGGGACCCCTCTTGATGGACCTAACCCCTCTCTTGAGGAAACAGGTTAGGAATCATCTTCCCAGGTCAGTCTCGACCCTGCTCCTTCTCCTCACTTTGATGCTACACCCTTGGAAGTAGTGGCTCCTGTTATGAAGTCCAGTGATGAAGAAGATGAGGATGATGTTGCTATGAGTGTGTTCATTGCCGTAAGGATACCAGTAGAAACTCCTGAGCCCCCTCCTAAGCGACCTACCACAAGGTTGCAGCAAAAGGAGGCTCTTGATTCTGCGCTAAAGAAGAGTAAGAGAAGTAACAGGAAGAAGAAGAAAAGGCTGGTGAAGGATGGTGAAGTTGTTTGTGATAAGAATATCCCAGTTGTGGAAGTTGATGAGGAAGCCACAGAGGAACCAAGTTCCTTGATCAAAAAGACTCAGAAAAAGAAACACTCTACTGAGAGTACTTCAAAAGAGGTTGTTGGAACACCCAGTGAAAAGTCAGTAAAGGATAGTGGCAAGTTAAAGGAAGTTGTGGTAGAAGAGTCTGTATATGATAAGAATGTGCAAGTGAAGTCTAGTGAGAAAGTTAAGTCTAGTGGAAAGTGTGTGAAAAGGAAATTGGAGGATGTGAAAGGACCCGGTTCTGTGAAGAAGGCAAGAAGGGGAAGTATATCTGGTAAAGAAAGGTTGAGGTATCATAAAGTGTTGTGGGGTCATACTTTTGACCCTGAGATGGCTGGAATGCGTCAAGTGTTTGAGATGGTTGAGTTTCGACAATGGGGACACCTATTCAAGGTGGATGTGCCCAAGGTATATGAGGAAGAGGTTCAAAGTTTCTATGCAGACATCTTTACCGTTGAATCTGATCACATCTGCGCACTGGTAAATGGCATAGACATTGTAATGGACTCTGCTGTGTTAGGTGACATACTTAAAGTTCCTGCTGAAGGTCTGTCTTCTGAGTGCATGTGGCCCAAACTTTAGGCATACTATAGTTAAGTAGAGCGCTGTGTAACGGGGGGAACGGATGCATAAGAAAGCTTTGCTTCCTGTTTATCAGCTGCTTTTTGAGTTGGTGAACAAGGTCCTGCTTTCTCGCGCTGAGAGGAGGTCCATCATATCCAAGGCCGATCTGTATCTGATTGAAGCATTGGATGTGTTCCAAACTGTTAATCTGCCAGCCATAATGATTGAGCATATGTAAAAGGTGGCAGCATTCAAATATGGAAATCATGGCCTTCCCTATGGATTTCTCCTCACGCGTGTCTTCAAATTCTTTAAAGTGCCTTTGGGACAGCCTAATATGGGAACCAAGAAGCAGACTATGTCTAAAACTACTCTAGAGGAATGTGAGTGTATTGACAAAATTGGAGGGGTAGGAAGCACTTCAACGATCTCCCAGCTTATAAATGCTCAAAATAGCGCTACTGAAGATATCAGAAAGTTGAAAGCAAAGAATGCCATATTAGAGACTCAGCTCAGTCAGGCCCAAGAGGCACCAGGGTCCTCCAGTACTTCAAATGCAGAGGTTGCTCGTCTGACTAAGGAGAATGATGATCTCAGGAAACAAGTTGAGAACCTGAGGGAGAAACTGCTCGCTGAGCAAATGTCCGCCAATGCTCGGATAGATCTCGTTCTCCACACACTTGTTGCCTCTTCCAAGCCCTCTTCCTCTAGTGTCCTCTAGTCATATCTCTCAGTGTCCAGCTTATCTCTCTTGACAGTGTTTTGATGATGTTGTGGTGGTTGTATCTGTTTTTTTTTTTGGTTTGTGGATGGAAATCACTAGTACTGCTCCCGTGTAAACAGTCCAAAACTGCTTTTGTTGTAAAGGCAAATGCTTATATTTTTCGTTGTTTAATGAAAACTCTCCTTCTTTTGCTGTAAATGCTTATGTGTTTCTGCTTCTCTTTTCTATCATGTTTGTGTGCACACAAGTGGCATGAGTTAACTAGGCTAGACTTCTTTATGTTATTTGCTTGTTTGTGTGTTTTTAATGATTCCAAAAGGGGGGGAAAGTTAGATAAAGAGTTAAGAAGAAGTAGGGACTGATTAAGGGGGAAGCACAAAGTCAGGGGAACTTGTGAAGTTCCTGTTACTTTATCTGGGTTTTTTTTGCTCTAAATATGATTGTCAATTTTTAAGTTTGTCATCATCAAAAAGGGGGAAATCGATGGGTTTATAGTACCTTAGCTTTATGTTTTGATGATCTAACAAACTTACTATCAAAGAACCAGATAAGGAACCTGATACACTTGGTACACAACTCAATCAATAGACTCAAGCTAATGTGAGTTGCTATGACTTCAGAAGATAAAGAATCAACACAGGGACCTGATCCATTTGGGTTCCCCTGACAGCAGTACGAAGTCAACTCTCTACAGCTGGAAAGTGACTGCCTGCACTGTACACGCAAACAGTGCAGCACAGTGCAGCAGTCACTTCTCATTGGGAAGGACCTTGTACCAACCAAGTGACTACATCATTCAAGTGATGTCATCCAAGTTGTATTATCAATAAACATTACAACAAAACATCACTAAAACACTTGAGAATTCATTCAAGCACTCCAAGCATCTGACAATCAAGCATTCAATTCTCAAGTGCATCAAGAACAAAGTACAACACCACTACGGACCGGTTCCTACAATAAGCCTCTTGTATGTCCTTACTTGAGTTGTAACTTTGTAATTGTTCTTCATTGTAATTCCTACTTTGCTTATCTGGAAGCTTTAATTAGGAACCCCTTGTAAACCATAAACCTTTAGTGTTTGTGTCGTGACTAGAGTTAGTCATGAGTTGAAATCTTTGTAATAGGTGTATTGCAAAGTGGCTTGTAATATGTGTATTACAAGTTAGTCAGGGATTACGAGTTTAATTCCTAGGTTGCATAGGTTGTAATCTAAAGATTGATCATAGTGAAGTTGAAATCCTACCAGTGTAGGTCGTGATTTTTTGATCCCCTTGAGCAAGGATTTTTCCACGTTAAAGTTCCCTGTTCCATTTACTTACTGTTGCATTAGCCTTATCTGTGGAAACCTATATAGGACCTGGTCTCTATATAGTTTGATGGACTCATATATTCTATCAATATAATTTATGTATTCAGATGTATATATATGTATTCAAATGTATCTGCAGTATATATTAATATGTTTTTGCATTATAGATGACCTGTTATACTTCATGTATTCAATGTATTTTTATGTATTTAACTGTATTCAATATAATTATACAATTTCAATATATAAATCTATTTATAAAGATACCACTAAAAAATATTTTAGTAAAGATACCACTAGAAAAAGAAAGGATGGATTGAATCTCTGAAGGTTGCTCTGTTTTTGGGGTATCTTTCGGTTGAGAATCTTTTCTGTAGATGGAAATACAAATTTTTGTGTGTTATAATTGAGTTTGTTGAGTTATATTAGGAGTCTATCGCATTAATTGATTCACTTACCGTTTTTAAACAGCTGAAGACCTTTTTTTTCGCAAATTTCGTTACTGTATTCACGAATACAGCTCGCGAATACATTCTCTGCTTAGCTGCATTCATGAATAAAGTAGCAAAAATACATCGAATACAGTCTATAACAACTGAAAACATAACTATAGGAAGTAATTTAGTAAATCGTGGCTATAGCAAGCTAATAATCACTAAAACATAGTGGTTTCTGAAAATTTCTCTTATTTTTATCCAAGTACTACTGGTAGCTCCAAAGTTACGAGAGTTGAAATAACAAATGCAAGCTTGAAAAAATCATACTTGAGTTATCAAATGAAAAGATTTAATAAAACAAAAGTACGAGGGCAAGAAAAATCCAGCATTCAATGATTTCTTACTCTACATTGCTAAGAGATAATTTGGCCCTTTTTCTAGAAACTTCGATTGTTATACATATTTGCTTAATATTTAAATACCAACAACCACAATATGAAGAGTATGTAAATATTCTAACTCTAATCACCTTCCACCACATAGTTTTGTTGCCAAAATTATATTTTTTGCCTTTATCTAAATTCAACTGACAAAATTAATTTTTTATTGCTATTTACAAGTTAATTTTGAAGAGAAATGCACCAATCATATCGTTAAGAAATTTGGATCCTATAAACGGCTTATATATTGATACAAGAGTGATATGTAGAGATTTGATAAAAATATCATACATGCAAAAATAATGATGGAGCAAGAGCTTCCAAACATGTACTTATCCCCAAAATTCAACTTTCGCTTCTAGAAATGAAGAATACTCTTTTAAATTCACATGAGAACAATTTTTAGTACGTTAATATTTTTCAATAATAAATCAGGTTCAAATAATCCGTACTATTTGACTATACTTGTCGCAACATATTTACTTGCATGAAAAAACTATAAGTTATACTTTCAAGGGTAAATTTCAATGTCAACAGCAAAAATTTGGTCTAAAAGAGCAGTCGAAGCAACAAAAAGGAGCATAAACTAAGAATATCGTCTATAAAAAAAATATTAGGCTAGATACAACATATCATTTTCTCATAAAATAAATATCTTCAATGACAAATACTATAAAACTTGACAAATTATATTCATCTTTTCCCGTTTAGAAGATATTTAATTATTTTGAATTCAACTATAATAATATTTTTTTTCCATTTAAATAAATATTGCATCTATTTCATTCTTATTCTATTTAATTTCTTATTTTTAGACGTAAAAAAACGCACGTACACTAAAACTAGTAGAGATAACATACCATTATGTATTGTGAGCCGAGATTTTCAACAGTCGAAAAAGCAAATCACCATTTGCAGTTAAGTTACATACCAATTACCTCATCTTATGTTAGGGAAATATATGACAACAGAGATTGGATAGGTGATGCTCATAATTATTTTTTTCCTCCAATGTAGCTTATTAACAGCTACAGTAATTGACAAGCGAAGGTGCATTGACACCACAAAACCCCTTCCGCTAATTGGTGAAGGTAACCAAGAATAGCCTGAGCAGTTCATAGAAAATCAGTTCAGTGCATAGATCAGGACCAATGTATCTAAACAAGGGCATAAACTATCCTGTTTCAGAAAAGCATAAGCAACTCCCAGAATGATTGCAATTGATACGTATTAATTGCACGTGCTGGTTCCAAATCCGATAACGAGTACCCCAACTATTTTTGGAACATCCTGGCGTACGCTTTTTTCTCCTTATCACGTCTATCAGCAATCTATCAGAAGGAAAAGGAGAGGGAAGAAAATAAGTGTATGTCAAACATGCTTCTACTTCCCGAGAAAAAGCTAATGTTGGTATGTGTTTAACAACAGCTGAGTCCCATATACTAACCTTCTTTTTAGCAGCAGCAAGCTGATTTTTTATTCCTCCTGAAAATTCATGTCCAAATAAGTCACACTATAGAAAAAAAGACCTACAAGTGTAATTCCGTTCCCATGGAGCCAATCACGCCACCTATGGTATAATTAAACAATTCTTACAACATTAAAGCAAACACGTCCTTAAGGGTATCACATCACATTTTAACATTTTCTGATAATTATTGTTCCAATCGGTGTTACTCCCAGTTTGGTAACAAAAACATGTCCAAACCTACTAGCTCTTATCACTGTTTAAATTGAATTCTCCGATGTGAAGGAAGAAAAAACAGGTTAACAGATTAACCAGAAAATGAATACAAAACAAACTATGGAAATCTCACTAACCATCGTTTGGCTCCAGCTCCAATGCTTTCATAAAACTTTCAACTGCAGCATCTATGTCATTAAGAGCCATGTGAGCCTGATTGGTCAAGTAAGACAGACATTATTATTGAAGAGGACAGAGGAGCCATTGTAAGGAGTAACAGAAGACAGCCGTGAGTAGACATGGGTGACCAACAACTGTAGCCATAATGACATAGAAAAGCTAAAAAGCAGCTACGACAATTGCAATTAAACAGCAGATACATACAACTTAACACTAAACATACCTACCTTGACCTATCCCCTCCCCCCCCCCCCCCCCTCCCTTCCCAGACAAAAGAAACATTGTCTTTTTAACCATCGATGAACATGTCGAATGGCTCACATTTTCATCAAGCCTTTATAGCAACATAAACTCCACAATAAGCACCAGAAACCACAAGAATGACACATCCCTGCACCTTCTGAAACTTTTGATAGAAAAAATTTGCAACAGCCAGCTGCTTACAGTGGTACTTACAGGTTTAACCAAATAATGAACACCCTAATCAGTGCCAAGAAGTAAAGATATCCATGCCCTACCACACTACTAATCTATAGAACCATCAGTTGGAAAAGTTAATCACCGGCAACTGCCAAAATAAGGTATGTTCAACTTTGTTGACCACTAACAACTCCTTTATCAAGAAAAGCAGAAACCACCCAAGTTAGATTGTAAAGCTGTTAGGTATATATATATTACTTCCATACTTGGGTAGTGCTTGCCTCAGCACTAGAGCAAAAAGGCTTGCAATCTAATTTATATCAACCAGTCCAAAACCCAAAATAACAAACAGGTTATTGGATAGTTAAGATGATCAAAGCTGCTGCAAAAACAAAAAAACCTTGATAGATACTAACCTGCCCCTGACGAAATAGAGCTTTCGCATTGTTTTCTCCATCCCTCATTGCAAAGTCAGCATCTAGGAGTGCTCCCTTCAGATCTCCCAGTTTTAGTTTACAAGCCTGTTTATACATGACAAATATCAATTATGTGGTTTGGTTGGTTAATCGGCAAACTAATATGAAGTTAGAAAGCTTGACAACTGGATTCATGAAGCAACGGTTGAAGTTCAACTCAAGATATGTGATGAAATTAGAAACATGTGGTCTCAATTAAAGACAAACATGCATTAAGCAATGAAGCAATTATAAGACGTGAAAACAAAGTGGAACTAAGATAAAGAGGCAAGCGCAATTAAAAGGAATTGATACATTTATCTTAATAATGGACTTTATTTTGCTCTGTCTCTCTACCATCCTGAAATGATCTTGACGTGGTAAAAACATATTACCGCCATTTGTAACAAAAATCAGAATAATGGACTTTATTTTGCATAGTCCCTTTACCATCCGGAAATGATCTTGATGTGGTAAAAATATACTACCGCCCTTTGTAACAAAACTCAGAGTAGGTGGGTTGTTACCAACAAGGAAAAGCCTAATTATTGCCTACAATGTAACTTCAGTAGAGCAACAACCAAAAGCAGTAGAATGGGGACTCACCGAACTGTTGGTAAATATCTGTGATTTCATCTTTCTCAAATATGCGCTCCTGTCTGCAAGGAACAAGCAGACACTAGCAAAGTTACAAGTCATATGGCAACATTTTCTACAGCATATCCCTATTTCACAGCTGTCTATGCTACTACAAGCAGATTTATATGTTTCAGAGCCAATCAAGTTACGAAGATTTTGCATTGCCAACCTTCATCTATCTCTTCTTTCTCCCAGCAGATATCCAAATAGCGCAAAGCTTTTCGATACTTCCTAAGAGCCATCTTGTAATCTTGTTTCTACAGGAAGAAGCTTGGCATACATCAGAAAGACAGCTAAAAGAGATAAAGTCAAATGTCAATGAGAAAAAGAAGCAAGGGTGTGCAACAGTTAATCACATAATGTTGTTGTAAAATTAATACCTTAAAATTTTCATTACCAAATGCCTTAATAGCCTCAAGGGCGGTGACCCACCAAGAGATATCATCAGTATTGTTGTCAAGATCAGCAGGCCAATCAGGATATAGATCTCCGTCTTTGAAAAAATTTGCAATACCATCATCAGCCCCCTCAGGAATTTCTCCGCAATCCGCTATACTGACATCTACCATTGGGAAATCATTATCACCAGTAGTCACATGTTCCATAGAACGAACAACCCCCATTCCTTTGATTACTTTCCCAAAAACCACATGTTTTCCATCCAGATGGGAAGTTCGAGTAGTTGTGATGAAAAACTGAGATCCATTGGTGTTAGCCCCAGCATTAGCCATAGATAACATTCCTTTTCTTTCATGCTTCAATTCAAAATTTTCATCTTCAAATTTTAGCCCATAGATAGATTCTCCCCCAGTACCATCACCAGCAGAAATATCACCACCTTGTACCATGAAGCTCTTAATCACACGATGAAAACGGACTCCCTGAAATGTACGTACAAACGCCTTTAGGGACCGCTTAAAGAAAATTCAGAATGAGAAGAGCACAAATTTTCTCCAAGGATTCAGCTAAAACAGGTTTGTAAAGTGTTAATTATAAACTAAAAGATAGGTGAAGCATTTATCTAAATATTCCCTTTCAATATACTCAAAGATAAGGAGCAAAAAAACAGTAGCCAAAGACAAACTTCAATATCCTATACCAAGCCTCTTTGACTATATACAAGCAATCAGCGGCATATCTAAAACCAACTTGACTAAATACTACATAGTAAATGTACTTGAAAAAGGGGATTTCTAGAGTACAAAAACCAAGACTTGAAGAGCATCCGCTGTCAAAATTCAAAAACCTTGCTAAAGTGATCTTTCCGGGGAATCAAATGGATTCAATAATGTTCTTTTCACCAGTGCAGAGCAATTAGCAGACAGTTAATTTCCAAATCTGTGAGAAAATAGTGATAAATAGCAATCAAATAATATTTCATCATTTTCTAGCAGGAAGTGAAAACATTCTCATCCTTCCCAGCAATGAGGCAAACATTCATAAGTTCTTCTTGAAAAGAACAACATTCTCATTCATTTCTAGCTGAGAAGCAATAATAATAGTCAGACGAAATCTCATCCTTCTGTATAATGGAAGCAGATATTTTATATACACGTATGCTGCAATTACATTTGAAACCAAAAAAAAAAGGTTCTAATTTGTTAGGAGTGCAAGAGAACTAAAATAGTTGTATTGAGATCTACAATGGACAATATCCATATAGAACCATCTAGATGCGGTCTTAGAATAAATAAAGGGCAGCCCAGTGCACTAAGCTCCCGCTATGTGCGGGGTCCGGGGAAGGGCCAGCCACAAGGGTCTATTGTACGTGGCCTTACCCTGCATTTCTGCAAGAGGTTGTTTCCACGGTCTTAGAATAAATGGCTATTAAATTTACCGAGATAGAACACCTAATTGAAAAGTACAAATAACTTGCAATCTGCTTAGAGGAGCAAATGTAGGGACGCTAAAGTAGAGGTAGAAAGACCCAATTTTTCTACAAGAGAATTTATAGAACAGTACTAACCAATGAAAGAAAGGAAATTGAGTCATACCTTAATCTATTGAGCACCTTTACAACCTTTCAGAACAATACACAAGCTCACAAAAGACATTACCGCAAAATTCTGTCTTTATACCGTATATACTTCTGATAAGGAAAAAAAAAAAAAAGACTGATCCAATAAAAGTCCTATGAATTAATTGCTGCTGAATTTCAAATGGTTATATATCCAATTTCATTTCCATTGGCCATCGATAACACCAAGAATGTTGAAAAGGTTCACCGACATTTTCTTAGTCTATTCAGCAGTTTTACATCCTTTCAGATCAAGAAACAATCTTTACATAGAATATATACTTGTTACAAGCAAAACAAGACGGAGCCAACAACTAAAAGTTGTTATTAGTGGTGAACTTCAAAAGGGTATATTTAATTTCATATCCATTAGTGAACCAGAATCTCAAAACATACGCGCAAAGAGAGAAAAATACAAAAACAAAAAACAAAAAACAAAAAAAAGAAGGAGGAGCACCTTGTAATGGAGGGGGACACCAGTGTTAGGACCAATACCCTTTTCACCAGTACAAAGAGCCCTAAAATTCTCAGCAGTTTTAGGTACGACATCATTGTAAAGCTCGACAACAATTCTTCCTTCGAGCTCTCCTCCTATGCTTATGTCCAAATAACACCGTGGCCTTCCCATCTTCTTCAACTACTCTTCCCTGTTTATGTCAGCCTTTGTGTGTGTCTCTTTGTGCAAGGAAAAAGCAGTTATGAGAGTGGAAGATGGAGAAACCCTAGTTGAGGATGGAGACTTCTACTACTGTTTAAGTAGTGCCCGCTATATATATTTCGAACTCCTTGAAGCTGTCGACAGTATTCAAAAACGCCTCCCAACTGTCTTCTCCGTTACCCATTAAATAAAAGGAAAAAAATGGAAAAATGGAGAGTGCGTGTGGTTTTCGATGAAATAAAATAAAAAAGTGAGTCAGAGAAAAAGTTATTCAAACCCATTTTATTTTATCTAACGGAATTTGATTTGACACAAAAAATTAAATAAATATTTAGCTGCAACATATCTCGTATTTGGCCGCCCTCGATCGCAAACTAAAAATTTGATAAGAGTTTCGGGCTGGGTTCAAGGTATGCCAGTTGATTTTGAAAAATAAACTCTACCTTCAAGATTCAAAATTAGGTAAGTTTTCACCTCAAATTTCAAAAATGCTCCTCTAATCCCGAGCTTGGTAAATAAAGACGTGGAAAATTCTTTTCTTCCGGCCTGTAAGTGATAAGGGGGAGTCGCTCTTACGTTCTCTCTCTTGGGTAGGTCAGTCTCGTTCTTTTTTGTCGGTAAGTATATATGTTATGGTATTGTTGTCGAACAGTTTCAATAGTGTTTGTTAATTTATAATTCTACAGCTGCTTGAATGTCTCGCCTGTCTGCTTTATCATAGGGCTATAAGTGAGTAGGGCTTTTGAAAATAGAGAGGTAAAACAGCTAGGAGCTAAATATTAGTAGAGCGCCCTCTCATTTCTTTGGGGCATTAGAAATTAAAAAATTATTTATCTAACGGAATGTGATGACAATTTTTAAGTTGTAGGAAAAAAATTAAAGGGAATGCATGCTAGCAGTATTTCTTTTAAATACACAAAAATAAAAAGATTGTCATATAAAATAAAGGGGAAATGCATAAGTACCCCTAATATATACCCGGATTTTCAACTACACACTTTTCTTTTCGGGAATCCTATTACCCCCCTAAACTTATTTTAAATGTAATTATTTGCACCCTGAACGCTGACAACCAAACTCTTGGCAAGTGGTGAGCTACACGCGCCCCCACATGTATTTTTAGTACTTTTTTTATTCTTTCTTCTTTTTCTTATCCTTTTTTCTTATTTCTTATTATTCTCATTTTTTTTGGTTATTTCATTCTCTTTCTTTTTGTTTTGGTCACCGGCGGCATAAAATAGTGGTCGTCGGTATTTCACAAACACCATTTTTTCCGGTAAATTTTTTTTCCGACGACAAATTTTTATCCCGATCTAAGTGTGTTTTGTTTTATATATATATAAATTTTTCTTGTGTAATTTATGTGTGGGAGGAAGAGCAAAAGAAATAAAACGAATATAAGCTAAGAAAACTTTTTCAAGTTAAAATTTCAATACATCATTTTTTTTCCGCCGTAGGAAGGTTTTCCGATGATGAATTTTTTCCCCCAAATCTGAGTGTATTTTGCTTTGCTTACGAATAGATCTTTTTGAGATTAATTTGTGTGTGAAAAGAAAAAATGGAAGAAAAAAAGTTAGACAAAGTCGCCGGTGAATGAATATCCGCCGGAATTAGAGAAGAAACGGAAAAAAAAAGTAAAAGGAAAAGGACAAAGAAAAAGGAAAAGGGAAAAAAAAAGTAAGAAAAAATGGTAAAAAAATAATCTGAAAATCATTTTTTCTTGCTTCTCACTCTCCTTTGGGAGAGTGAAATACACACACTCTGCCACGTCAGCGTTAAGGGTGTAAATAATTACATTTAAAATAAGTTTAGGGGGGTAATAGGATTCCCGCAAAGAAAAAGTGTGTAGTTGAGAATTCGGGTATAGGTCAGAGGGGTACTTATGTATTTTCTCTAAAATAAATAAATACATTAATATTTTAAAAGGTATTTTTGGGACGAGTTTCGGGAGACAATATGTGGAATGAAAGTATTGCTGGCCATAAACCCATTGTTGGGGCGAGTTTTTGTTTTGAAAAATGATCAATTTGCAACTACAAGCAAAAACACATCATCATTCATGATTTGCATTGGTTCGAGCTTTTGGTTGTAGATTAATTCCTTCTTCATTTAATTTTTTCAAGTTATTTTGCTCTTTCAAGTCGGTCTATAAATTTTTACTCATTATTTCCAGTGTCAGATCATTTTTTTGTGAAGCAGTTCTGATTATTTATTTTAGTCAATTGCTAATTCTAATTTCTAGTTAGCATTTTAAGATGATACATTTCAACTTATTCCATACTTTCTTGAAATTATTATAATTTTATGAAATTTTAGTTTATTTTAATATTTTATTTTTATTATATTAATTTATAAAAATTTTGAAAGTAAAGATCCATGGTACTTACGCCCAACGCCTCGAAACTTACCCATCGACCCGTATTAAGTAAAATGCTTTGCCTCTCGCTGGCACTTTTTAAAACACTTGAATGTATTATAGTATAACTCAGTGATTATGATTCTTTTTTGCATCTTTATATAAGATATTTAAATGTTGTTAACATCCTAGAACTAATCTAATTTATTTTAAGTATTTTTGCCAGTTTATTTATCTTAAAAAATACGAATTTTCTCCGAATTTCCAGATAGTAGTACTCCACTAAATTGGCAATCTCGTAACATGGGGCTACAAAAAAAAAAAAGTCCGTTTACCGTAAAATCGGATAACAATTAAAATTTATATGTGGTTTTAAGGATACGTGATATAACTTGGAACAAATTAAGAAAATAAATATTAATTTCGAAATTGTCTGTAAAAGAAATAAATGCAAACCGAACGCATCAAATAGCCTTAGCCCTCAAGTTCGATCACCCTTGAACCAAGTGAAGTTTCAGTTGATATAAGAACAGAGTAACAAGATAACGAAAGCTAGAGAGAGGCAGTATATTGCTTTATATTGCGTGAATATGATGATCTTTTACAAATGATCAGACCCCCTTTATATAGTAGGGGAGTCCTACTCTTGGTACAATTCTAAATACAGTAAGAAATCCCACGATTAGCTACTTAATCGGCCTCTACTTGATACGAGCCGAGATTACCGCCGCAATCCTCGCCCGATTGCAGATATCTCGGCTTTCCGTTATTTGGCTCGGCAAACTTCCTTGGATCTCGCTCGATCTTTTTCTTGCTTGATCTCCATCTTGATCGGTCTCTGGGTCACGAGCTTGGTAATCTAACTTTGCTTCATGGTTCGATATAATACAAGGTCGAACCTTGGCCTGCCACGTTCCAGTCTCAATTAGTCATTAAAAAAAAAAGGCAAGCCCAATTTTGACCGTATACAGATAGTCCTCTCGTTTCTCGTAGAGAATAATGACGAGAAACGATCTGAACTTTTCTAATCCCGTCTCGATGGGCCATGACGTAAGCGACGAACCCGACTATGACGTCAGCGACAAGCGGGTACTGAAACGTCCCATCGGTTGGGTACCTAGGCATTAAATGCATGTTAGTTGCTGTCGGCCACTACCGATTCTGAACCGTCGCCAGCTACCTATAAAAACCCTAGCCTTTCCTCATTCAAACTTTTACACTCAAAGTTCCTCCTACTCTTGCTTTTTCTTCAACAAATCCCTTTGCTTTACAATTTTCACACACCCAAATTTCTTGAAGCCTAATCAAACCGCGTATCATCCCAATTCTCTTTTCTCTTGTTTATCAATGGTTAAAATTCTAAAACTGTGCCCCAAAAGGAGGCCGCTTCTTCATCACGACCCGCCGGTGGTGAGGCTCTGGTGGAGCCCCACCCTGAGGAATTCGTTCCGGCAGGGTGTCCAACTATCACCGACTTTAAGGTCAAAAAGACCTCCTCGGTACCGGGCCGATATGATCCGGTCTCGAGGTATATATGCACAATCACTGAAGACATCCTCAACAAAGTTAAAGAGGAATGTAACTGAGACAAAAAGGATGTAGTGGTTCCTTCGCCTGAGGAATCGATCACTACTCATGTGGAGGGATATCTAAGTGCTTACACTTACCCCTTCATGTTGGGTCCCCTAGACCCTGTCATCGTCACTTTTTGTTAGAGATACGACGTGACCCTCAGCCAAATTCATCCTTCCTTCTGGAGAATATTGATTCTCCTCCGATTCTTCACAAGAAAGATCGGGGGATGTCCTTTCACCCTCGACCATCTCGTGCTTCTTTACAGTCCCCAGCTTTATCAAGGAGGACTGATCAAGCCTGCCCGCCGGGCCAGTAAGGCCCCATTTTCCAGTATAGACTAATCTCGGGATCGGGGATGGATGGGCCGATTGTCTAAATAAGGACTTCATACTTGATCCCTGCTAAAGACATGACGTTCCCTGAGAAGTTTAACATGAATCGTAAGTAGCACTTCACCTTGAATGTTCAATTTGTTTCTAATCTTCTTTTCTTATCTATACTTTTTGGTGTTGCAGCTATAACCCAGATGCCGGAGGTAGTCCCCGAGCTCAAGAAATAGGTCGAGGGTTTGGTATCACAGAGACCATACTCCGAGCGTGCTTGGATGGAGTTGTCGAAGGGCCGATGGGAGGCCCACAATCATGGTAAGTCTCTTTCTTAAAATGGTTACCATTTGGGTTTTTTCTCAAGCTAACTCAACTTTTTTCCTTTGTAGGCCTCGGGAAAGACTTAGCAATAAGGCCCCCATCAGCTGAAGAGAAAGTTCTTCCCCCGCCACCTGCTCTGAAGCAGGCCAAGGAGAAGAAAAGAAAAGGGGCTTTGAGTCCCCCCGGCCCGGAAAAGAAAAAACCTGCAAGGAGGTCTCGTACGCCTTGGGAGGATACTGGTGCTATGCTTTCGAACTCGATTCGCCGATTAAGGGATGAGTCCGAAGAAGAAAAGGAGGATAATAGTTCCAAACTGGTAACCCGCGTGCGGGCCGATGTCACCGCATAAAATCCCTCCGAACCGGAGGAGGTTGATGAGGGATCCTCGGCCGATGTTCCTGAACCAGAAGGAGTTGAGGTCGCTCCGTCCCAAGCTGAGATGGTCTAGGGAGAAACCGGGGGCGAGGCTTCCCGAGTAGCTGAAGATATCCCGAGGGACGATCTCGGAGTGATTGATATCTCTGAGTCCCCTCAATTTTCGAACGCCACCATCCATGAGGCCGCTAACTTGGAAGGTCGCTCTTGCGAGGGTCCTC